CATGCAGAAACATTTTAATAAGATGACATCGCCCAAAGTTTAGTTAACTGTTAAAATACAAATGCATCTAAGCACATGAAAGTATATCCTTTATATTTTTGCCTCACCGACAAACCCCAATCCCCAAACCCGAAGTACTCACTTCTTACGTGCAAAGTGTCTTCAGATCCACTGGAATATTGCAGCACTAAGGCGTTTTCACTGGACCAAAATTTATTTTTAGGTTTGGAAACAAGTTAATGTAAGATCAGGCAAATATGAAGGGTGTTGGGCACGATAAACTTTTCCTGCATCAGACAGTCATGTTAAAAAGACGCGTTACGCTTGGCTCTTCTCAATTAAAATGTTTCTTTAGTTTTCAAAGATCTTCTTCTCTTAACTGACATCAACTTGAATGGTGGAACCCTGTTTGTGACGATTGTGACTTATATTACCTTCTTCACGCTAAGGTTGGCTTTGCAATACATGGTCTTTGGTCAGATTTTGTTGTCTATACTTTGATCTGAAATCTTCCGTTTCGGCTCAAAACAGCGGATCCATGTCTCTATACCAGTGACAACATTTGCAAAAGAACATGCTTGTAATTTCAAACCTGCATCATTTTTGCGCCAACATGCTATATGCCAGCAGATGGACACTTCATTTTTAAATTACGTTTGAGAATTTTAAGATCTGCTTCTATTGAGTTGTCATCCATACTATAGCTACCGTTTGGCAAGTTGGGAATCTTGCATAAGTTGGTAGCAAATGTTCCTTTTATTGGCAGACGTTATTGTTTTTGGTCGAATGTCTTGTGACATCTTCCTCGAGATATTCAAATTATTTGGCGACATATCTATATTTCAACAATCCTCGTAAACATAATTATTTTGGCTCGATATTGATGGAAGCCGGAAGCTTATCTGTACATCTATCGTGTCCACAGCTTAGAAGTTACCAGTACTGGTGTCATAAAAAATACCCTATCTTGACGCTAGTAGGGTTTTAACTCACGTACCTGGGTTCAGAGACAAACACCAAAACTTTAAGAAAATGCATCAATTTCTATTTACATATAGTTACACATGTATATATACGTGTAATTATAATTCTTGGTGGATCTTTCATAATTTACATAAATACAACATAAAGTTCATAACGACGTTTAACCTTTACCACACTAAATATCTTAAATGTCCATCTTTCAATCTTTAAACCAGCCACCATGTTAGGCATACTTTCATAATAAACACTAATAATAATCAGCTATTAGCTGATATCGTGATATGGAAAAACACATAATTTTTTATACACATATACATATGCTTCTGATATTCAATTAGTACATCTTTATATCTAAAAACATAACAATAAATGATATTGCCTTACAATATATTGTATTACATATTTCAACATTGTCTAGCAATGTATTGCTTTACGCTTTTTATCATTATGATACAATAAATTAATAAATTGCCGTACATTTAAGTTTCTTTACGAGATTATATTTCAAAGTAACAATGCACTGTAATGCAATAGCGTTTTATATAAACATAACATTACAATATCTAATGTAGATATGAAGAAAAAAGAGAGAACTTCTTTGTTGTGACATCGTTTTTTTAGTTTAAATGTTTTTGCCGCTCATGTTCTATTTTGAATAGTAATTTACATACAATAAATCTGCACGTTATAAAATATTATTGTTTGTCTGTAGTAATGAACTATCATATTTATTGAAATCATTTACATCCAAATCACTTTGTGAAAACACCCTTACGTGAGATATCATAAAAAAGATACAATCAACAAATAGCATTTTTTCTTTCTGTTATAACACTTTTTGGGGGGAAAACCCCTTTCAGGCATAATCGAAACACTTTACGTTATTACCTGTGTTTGACACCATTTTTATCGTGATACTTGTTCTTTTTCACATTGTTAACAATTGATTTATGACACAAAGTATATGTTAGTTGTTTAGCATAAACTTTGTTTAATTGCTCTTGATATCTGTTACAGAGAAAACGCTAAGTATGCAAATGTGTAATGCACGTGTATGTTATACTATAGTTATGTCAATTTCCGGATATGACTACTTCTATGTTTTGTTACCTAATTACAATCATTGGTATGTAAGACACGATCAGAGTTGGCAGGATGTTATGTTATTATGTCTGCTATTTTACAAATTATTTGTTTTATCTAGATTGTTTACATTTTAATGCTACATTTTATAGTTTTCCCTTGAGATAATGGTATATAATGGTATATTTATGCGAAAGAAGCATATTTTTATATCTAAAGAATGCATGACCTACTTTAAAGTCATCTTTTCATTTATTCTTATTTTATTTTCGTATGGTTGAGTACCAAACCCACATAGTTAAGGTCATTGGTGGGGAACCCTCCCTGTATTATTTCACACAGGAGCGAACCAACACAAATGTCCTTTTCGGTATTTGAAGCTGCAGTGTTGAAAGCAAATGATTCTACGTTGGCAACCGACTCGAATATGGGGAGATGCTCAAATATATATGTCTTTGTTTTTGAACTTAATGTGTTTCGATAATTTACTTCACCAGTAAATTCCACGATCATTCATCACCTATGTAGGTTTATGTTGATAAATTGAGAACGAAGAGTTGCAATTAACAATTAAATACATTTTGTGGGTCTTTAGTCAAATTATTATTATATTTTACTTAATAGATATTTTATACCAATTAAAATACAGAATATCTAAAGAAGATTTAATTGGTTTGGGGGAAAAGTTTAAATGAATATCTAAATTCAATACAAGTAATTTGACTGGGAATAAATTATTCAGGAAGTAACAAATTCTTACTAAGCATTTTATGTAATTGAAATATTTTTTCTTCTTCTCAAAAGTAATTTAATCGGCAAGATCGAGTTGCTTTGTATATTAATTGAAGAAAATTGACAGAATTACCACACGCGGTAAAGTCTACAGTTAAGCTGTCTCAGTTATTCATGAACTACAAAACAGCAGGGGCGGTCGGATTCATACACCGTTTACGATCTTATTTCAAATAAAAATTCATTTTATTGTTAAAACCGATAAATTTCTAATAAAATTGCAAATTTTGAGGATAAACCCATAAACTGCGTTTCCTTTTGATCGATGGAGCGCCCAACTGAAGTCGTAAAGTTATGTGACTCAAAGGTCTTTAGAAGTGATTCTTTTAAAAGTATTATAAGCATTTATTGAACGGATGCAGTTGTAGAAAATCTACTTTAGTGATATTTTTTACAGTTGAAGTGTACGCCTACGTTTTAAAGAACGCTTACATTTTTCCTATTTTAGTTTGGTCTATTATATGTATTCATGTTAAGAGCAAAGATGTTTAGTTTTAGTATTCATATATGGAAATCTCTGAGTAAGTTATAAATTCAAGGCAATATTAGTCCATCACATGAATTTAATGATATAAATTAGTAAAATAACATTAGGATTTTCTATAAGTGCGTGAATAAACTTACTTAAACTACATTTCATTAATATCACTTTTATATCGATTTTTTTATAATTGATAAAAAAACAAATTACCTGTTTTATGAACATCAAAGATATTTGATTTATTCATGATAACTGCTCACATTTTATGTCATTATATTATCTATGTGAATAGAGAATTTCGATAAATAGGCCATTTCCAACGATCAAAGTTGACTTATGACTTTATTAAAACGTTCAGGTAAAAAAACGATCATACATTTTATGTGAAACGTTATATGAAAATATATAGTATGCTTGTTCAAATGGTAATTAAACAAATTTCTTCTTGATTTTTAAAATCGTTTCAAATAAAATGGGACGGTATGCAAACATGAATCTTACTTTTAAAAATCGCTAAAATGTACACTTTAAGTTATTTAGTGAAAAATAAGTATTTGATTTATGACAGTAGAAAAAAAAAGAAATATAATTGTGTAGTAATAAACGATTTATAATAATTCTTTCTGTGACTATAGATGTTATTAACGTCTCCCACCTTGTTTCAAATTAAACCCTGAATTTTCATGGCAATGTAAAAAAAACCCAAACCGCTAGCGTCTTTTTTAAGTTATTTTGTAGTTTTGTATACTTAAATACACTTAATTTCATCGACAAAAATATTCACAAGTATGGGACATAGTTAAAAAACTAATTTCGTATAACCATTATAAAATTCATGGTTCATTTATTTGATAAATTTTCTCATAAAATAGCTACCACATGTTTGGGTAATTGGTATATTTAAAATTCATTGCTGGTGTACAACAAGTATGAATAATTAACACCTGTACTTCGTTTGCATGAATACGAGCGGGATAAAATATGAGTCACACTTGTTCAAAAAATATATTTCGAGAGAGAGGAAAATACAATTTCTGTTAATATCCTATAATACTTTTGTTCCTTTTAATGTATATACAGTATGTTTGAAAAAAAAACTTCGATATTTTATCGTTGCGGTTACTTACCAATTTAGAATTTGAGGTGAACGACCTTCTATTAACAAAGCCAGACATCTAACACACCGGCTTGTAATTAGAGTTCATAAAATGCTAATTGTTAACAGAAAAGAAATTATAAAAAGATACAATGTAACTTTGTTTGTTCTCGGTAATGCGTGAGTTTATTTCCTCTGAATGCGGAGCATGACTTAAATTGAATGTTCTATTTTCAGTAGTCGACTTTACATGTATATGCAAAACAAATTTTAGGAAGATATATTATTTCAATAAAAGAACTGTAAATGAATGAATGAATTTTCAAAATCTATTATGTTCTGGCTATGTGAACATTGGTTGTGTAAGCAATTTGAAATGTCTTGTTTATAACTGCTACAATAGAGTAATTAAAAGATAGAAATCTACAGTGAATTGCTTTTGTGCCTAGCACAATGTCTTGCTAGCCCCCTGCTGAGACAGAATATAACAAGATAATAGGTACTATTTGTCTTCATTAAGAAGTCTAATTTTGTTAATGGTACAGATGTTTATTATCATTTTAGGTTCCGTGGGTGTCTTCGGCAGTCTGAATCTTCAATGGCGAATATGATTGGAAAAATATACTTCAATATCCTCGGTAGCAAGTGCTTTGAGTTTCAGGAAACGGAAGTTTGTGCGGAACGCTCTTGGTGGGGCCGTTGTCAGAGATATGAAAATCAAACCCTTGCGGCCGTTCGAAGTCAAGTATCATTTATTGATAAAGATGGCAATGAGGATTATGCTGTTGTTAACGACAAAACTGACAGGCGATAACTTGATATTGATTGAACAGAGTGAAACATATACCTCTTAATTATTTTATATTTTTCTTTACTTTGTTTATATTCATTTTATCATCATCTTCCGAAAATAGTGCGGAGATATAACTCATGTAAATTGTTATTTCATTCTTCTTCAAAGCATCTTGAAAATTTGTCTTTTTTTAAATCTCTTACTTATTAAAATATAAACCTATCTTACATCAATATAAAAACGTTATGTTCAATCGGCTAGCGAGTCAGTTCTTTGGAAAGATTACCATTTTTAAAGTAAAATGTATTGATGTACGTTTGCATATCAACTACTGCTCTACTAACGTGTTAGCATTATTGTGGTCTACTACTGTTGTTTCACTTCTGAAAATGTATGATATTTTGTTCATGAAATAAGCAATAACTCAGGTTTAACTTTCATTTATATTAAGGTCAATTAGTAAATAATAATGCTGACATTTAAAGAGCAGGTAAAACAATAAAACATTTCAATGTACATATTTTATATTTCATGTTTATTTGTTAAATGATGTGTTATGTTTGCACAGTAATATTGGTAGACTTATAGTTATGTTCCACCCCCCTTCCGAAATGTATATTAAATTGCACATGTCAACCAATGTATTTGTTCCTCCGTAGACTAAACCTTGTCACAACAATGTTAAGAGAACGCTTTGCCTACTGTCCAAATATTAATGAAAGTTTTGTCATTTAGATTACCCCTAATGATTTTGGTGTGAGTATGTCTAATTTGTAGGTCACCGAGACATTGAGTAACCATTCTAGAAACAGAATTTTCCTCAGCAAATTACCCTATTGACCATTACCGGTCTGTTTGTCAAATGTCAAGGTCACGGTTGTCAGACCACCTTGAGCAAAAGAGACAAATCAATTCGGCCAAAAATTATCAGATTTGGTTGGTAGATTTGTGATTTAAATTTAAGCTGAGGTCAGTAAACAGAAGGGCATGGTTACAGTGTTTTGGTCACACACATGAATTGTCTGACCGGTAAGCAAAGAATTTTTCATCACATAACACGGGGACGGTGACTATGATATAGATAAAAAAAACTATTGATATTTGGGCCAAAGGTCAAGGTCCTTTTCACAAAGTTTTTCCAATTGATAATTAAAGAACTCTTTGATCTTTGGTCTTCAGATCTAGATGGGGATGTTGGTACTAAACTTTATAATTACTCTTACTTTTTGTGTACTTATTTTAAGCCAGTAAGTAGGTCATGATTGCCACGCTAAGTTTTCTTCTGAGGTTCCAAGGTACTATTCAATTATATGCTTAATTTAAATTGCCTGATTTAAAAAAACGTGTTTCTATGTTGCCATAGTGAGATTTTTATTTTACGTTTTCTTTTAATTTATATTACATTGACGGCAAAGGACATTTGGATGCATATTCAAAGCACATAAGATTTCTGAAGGATATAAAATATTAAATTGTCCCTAATGCATAATTTTTTTTAATATTTCAGGCTTTATAAATATTTGTGTTTTAGCGCGAAATACAGTAAAAATATAAGCAAAAACCTGGGCCAGATTGTGTCGCCATATTGTGTTTTTTAAAAGTTTGAACGGGTAATAAATTATGTCTATATATGTTTATTTTAATAAATGTTATAATGTGAAGCTATTGTTTTTACCTTGTGTCATTTCATTTGATTATCTCCTAATGATTAAGATAATTTTCAGCATGTGTTCCTGTCTATACAAACGAGAAAGTTGGAGATACGAAACAAACACGAAATGACAAAAAATGAGAGGAAATATTTCCCATTATTTGATCGTGTTTTCGTCTTAACAAGCTCAACTTCGTAAATATTTAGTGTTTGTAGTAAATAATATTAATAATACTTTAATCATCTACTATAAAGCATTGTTAATTTATTTCTGCCAGTTTCCTTACCTGATATTTTTCAAAGAAATTGTTTAATTGTCTGCTCACTTAGCTAAGGGATACAGTACGACCGGGAATCTTTGTAAATGGTTTATATATCTACTTTTCATATTTAAAAAAACTATATATAAACTAACAAGCAGGAAAGGAAATAGATTGCAAGGGAAATAAGCCGTGTACCCTCGCTCTGACTTGTTTATCTTATAACATATGTATGTAAAGAGTGAAACAAAAAATGTAATTACTTTTTATTGCATATCGTTGTTTGGTTGTTCTGTAATTGCCTCATAAAACGTGAATGTATGCCACAAAAAATATTCTGGTAGAAACAAAGAACGTCACTTAATTTGTCGGTTGTTAGTTTTATGCGCGGGAATTTCTAGTATTTGGAAAGCTACTAATTAATGTACATAAACAATCCCATTTTAAAGCTAATAAGAAAACGGCTATATGATAACCTGTTTGAAGAATTTATTGCATGCGTTGAAGCGTTACCCTTTTACAGTTATTCCTATTGCAGTTATAGTTTCGGTTTGTCTGGTGTTTTTCTCTATATATTTTCTATATAATAAAGCAAAATCATTTTTAAACAAATATTGAAATGAATTTTAGAACCGCAAAACCTATTTTACAAGTAAAGTTAAGAAATGAAAGGTGAATAGAAAACGTACATATTTGAAAAGCAATAAATGGAGACACGTTAATATCATGAATATAGTGTACCTTTTTTACATTTTGTTCCATGCATATTCTTTAAGTATAAATATAAATCAATTTCTTCCGCGATGAAAAGAAAACAAACATCTCAGTGGGAAGGTCGCGAACTTTCATATCCCTTATAGGGGAATGAGAAAAAATCAATCGCATTTGACTTGTGAACGCGACAGCCTGGGTGACTTTAACAAAGGCGACTCGGACTGCTAATCTGATAGAAAAAGAAGTGAATTAATGGGGTATAGAATGATTGACAGATGTAAACATGATTCTGAATACATTTACTGATACACTGTATACCGACAGATCGTCACATATAGTTGTGATCATGTAAAAGATGATTGAAATAATGTACATCATGTTCACGTCCACTGACACAACATTTGTGCGAACTATTTTGTAGTTCAATTTATTTTTGTTGTCGTTGACGTGACTGTATTTGGTGAAAACAGGCACAAAGTGCATTGTATTTTACTTCAATCCACCAAAAACAAGTTTTTCATGAAAGACAGAAACATGAGGAAGATATACTATTACTATGGCTATTTCTTTTCTACACAAATGTGAATCTGACAAATTAGTCTTTTATATTATTTATTGTATGTAATTTGACGAGTACAAGTCTTTCAAATTCTTTTGCTATTCAAATTTCAAGAAATTGTATGTTTCTTTATTAAGCCAATTCAATCAATTACATTTAGTTAACAGTTATTTAATATTAGATATACTGTTACCATTTAACATTTAAATGTTCAACAAAATAAAATTAAATCAAATCTAAAACATGAGAGTGTTTATTCATACAAGACAAATGTATATGTTCTCTCCCATCATTCAGTGTAAGGAAACCATTGTGATAAATATATACATGTAGTAATATAGCAAACTCAACTCATTTAGAGAGCAACATATGAAAACATAGACACATGTTTAAAACATGAAACTTTTTTGCACATTATTAAGAATAATTAATGATACAAATCAAATAAACACGTACAGCCGTCTAGTTCTATGGTGCATAAAAAGCTTGGAAATTTTGATAAAATTGAGGGTTTTTTTACAATTAAAAATATTTAAATACACTACTTAAGAAATACCTTACATAAATTATGTGCTATTTTAACTTGTCCTGGTTTAAAAAAAACAACCTAAAAACCAAGACATTTGATATAAAAATCTAATGACATTAATAGAAAAGAGGCTAAACTTACTCCTACAGCATTACAACATGAATAGAGAAAAAAGAAAAAGTAAACGGCGTGATAAAAAAATGTAAATTAAAAATATTTTTGTAAATACATTTTTTACGGAGATTAAACCGGACTGATATTACAACAATATCAAAAGACACATCTTATACCCCACGAAGATTTAGTCTAGGTGATTATAAAATAAGCGGTGTCATATTGCCCTACCTATATAGCATATCCATTTATAATTTCGCAGTATTAATCATTTCTTGTGTAACAACTTAAGGTTACATATTACTCGTACATATTTCGTTCCCATTAACCAGGTGCGCCGCATGAAGAAGTAACGTTATTATTAATTTAAGACCTTTCTGACAAAATATCAGAAAAAACTGGCTAATGTATTATGTATACAAAGTTTTTACCTTCATTATAAATTTGAAGCGGCAACTAAACATTAATAACGACCTAGTTATCTGTCCTCATTCTAATATATTTTGCAGAATATTTACCAGTTTTAAATCAAACAGAGCTTATATTAAAATTCGTGATGCCAAACACTCCTATAGGATTATGTGTTAACAAATATTAAAAATAAAATATTTGGAAAATACGTATAACGTGTTGTATAGTCACTTTAACAAACCGTAAGTAATTGTCAGGTTACTTTAGCGAAAAGCTTATGGCCTTGTGGCATAAATGACAGACAAAAATACTTTTTTGGAGAAAATATAAGTCTTATAAGTATAAATTTGCTTGTTATTTTATCTTACAGGCCCATTCATGCTCATAAATGATATCAAAACCTTTTTATTTTTGGTGTCCTGTTAATGTTTCCAAAAAGTTATTCATTGATCATACATGTATTTCTGAGCCATCTTTTGTTTATTTTGCGTTTTGGTAATTAATTTTGTATGGAAGTCAAGATACTACTTTGTTTACAAAATACTACTTTGTTTATATTTTGCTACCTTTATCAAAATTTATTTCACATTCAACATTATTCTATTCAAGTGATGAGCATCTTCCACGTTCTAAATCAATAAATACAACATTATTAACATGTATTTGCCCTCTCTGCACAATGAAAAATTTATCTTGTCTCAAATTGTATGCCTTCCTTTGCACGTTTATGCTTATTAGATTTTATATCTTCCCAGTGTTATTAGTGTCGCTTTCAATTGCAATAAATCAACTTTTACCTTTTTTTCTTAGATGGAGATAGCGTTGCTATTTAAAGCAGTTCTTGGGCACTTGGTCTTTCCTCATATGTAGATGACTCGTCCTTTGAATGGTGGACTAGAGAAAAATACCGGTTATCTTCTTATCAAAACAACTGTTTACCCTCATGTGTATCAAAGACATAATATCCAATATTAAATAATTCGACGCGCAATTTTTCATGTCTAATAGACATACATGTATTAGTAAATTATTATATATATTATCACGCCTTTAAATCTAAATCTACCAATTTATGGTTCAATAGATGTGGGCATATGGCACCGGGCTCTCGTTTAACATTACATAGATCATAACACTGGAGTTATAAATTGCTCTCCGTGTTGATCATGTAGTTTACATAGACTGAAATTTCAAACTATGCTGATATGTCTGATGCCGGCATACAACATGTGACCTGTTGATGAAAGTGCAATCCCTGCTGTTGGTAAAAGCTGTATCCCCGGCTGTAAATAGGCCGAATGATATGTCCGAGCAATAGGATGTCAAGCATGTATATTAAGTCAAATCTGACTCAAACAGAGTGTCTATGAGACATTGAAACACTCTGAAACTCGATCAAAATTGCACTCCAGATAAGAAACCTGCAAAAGTTATCAAGACCCTTCACAAAGGAAACTCTCTGCAAAAAAAATGCTTACAGAAGCATTTTATTTAGGTCACGGAGATATTTTGCGTTTCATTTGTAGACATCTCCAAAATGACAATAGATATGAAATCCAATAAATCAAATTCCAATAAACCAATTCCATATCTATGCAATGAAATCTTTTTTTTGCTAAAAACAACATACGAATCTATCAATTATAAAGATTATTACTTGTAGTGATATCGAGTCGTTTGTATATAAAAAAAAGTGTGTTGGCTTAACATAATAAAAGCGCTAGATTAGTTGGCATTCCTTAAAATTGTTTAAGACGGTGCTATCGCTTTAAAAGTTATTGTTTTAGACAGTGTAAATTCATCAATTGCATAGGGTGTTGTTTCATAAGATATGAAAATTGCTAAAGTGAATTCTTTGTACTCAGATAAAAGTAAGCAAGATGTTGGGAATTACAAGATGCATGCATGTCTCCTAACGAAATATTTAAAATACTTGTATTATAAACTGATCTTTATATGTATTATAAGCGTAGCTTAAATTTGTGTACAAATGCTAAAAATCTTTAAAAGGACAGAAAAGGTGAAAATGTCCACGAATGTTACTATAAAATCATAAGGCAAAAAGAGGGATAACTATTATAATTTACCTAACATATGTTTACGCATTTACTTCACTTTAGTCGAATGTCGTATTAGAAAGAAAGTAAAAATGCCTAGATTATCTTCTTTCTTAAATTTAGTTAATTTCTTCAAAGTGCTAATTTCATATTACATTAGACATTTTTTAGACAAATGATATTAAGATCAGCTGGAACTGGTAGTCTCCGTCCACTCGTGTACCTAAACTCAACCAGAGCACAACCTCAGGCCAAGCTCCAATACTGTCTTCCTGCGACAACACGTATCCAGGCCGTGCCATGTGCACTACACGACCCCTACATCCAGGAGTATCTCCGACTTCACGATGAGCCCTACATACAGAT